TTTGATTGTCAATTGAAACATTAATCAATCTAATATTATTTAGAATGCAGAAAATAAGTTAAACTAACTTCATTTTGACGAGAATTTTTTTTTAAATTTTCATGAAAAATTTGCTGAAAGAAGTGAAAATTAAAAAAAACGGTGTATTTTCCAGGATAAAAATCCGTACAATCCGTACAATTTGAAAACAAATCCGTACAATCCGTACAATTTTAGGGTTAAAAAAAAGCAATCCGTATAATCCGTACATTTTGGCCACCCTGATGTTACTCTATGAATGGGTCATTTGAAATTACGTTTACAGTTCATTTAACCACTAGTATCCGGATCCTAAGAAACCATCTCTACCTTACAACGATCCGCTTTCTTCCAGTCTCCGTTCTCATGAATCCTCTGATCAGGACGGTTCCTTGAATCCGTCGGAGCCACCCCGTCCTCCGATTCGTTCAGCTCTATGGTGAACTGAGTAAAGCAATATTGGATCTCCGTCCTGACATCCTCAGGTCTCCCGTCCCACACCTCCTTCCAGCGTGGAAGTTTAGCCACTACATTCTCGTTCGCAATCTCCTTTCCGAATATATCAACCGCCCCCTCTACTTTAATAGCTGTCAGCGGAGACACGGATTCCAGAAATGAATCCCAAGCTCCTCTTAAGATCCAAACAATCTCCTGTTTGGCGTTGTGTACGGCTCCGTAAACCTGTTTGGTTTCTCCACCAAACATACCCGAGGACTCGAATTTTACAAATGCTCGACCGCCCTGGGTACAGTGGTCCATTTAATTCCATCCAATGCGATACCAAATGTTCAATGATTGCTATGTAAGACAGAAATTCACCATGTTGTTGTTTACGAGATTGAGTTCTGGAAATATAGGAATTAGAAATTCAGATTTGTGGCAAAGACTCAAAGTATATTGATTACTGATATTTACACCTTTTAACACCCCAAAGAAAGTACACATTTTAGAAGTGTAGTAAAAGTACACAAAAAGAAACTTGCAAAAGTTCACGATGACTCAGAAGCTGTATTTTCCGCGCCAAAATGAACCTTCATGTCCGGAATCTCTGTAAGAAAGTCACAGGAAAAAAAGTTTCTGGAATAAAACCCGGAAATAAAAACTCTGTTAAAAAGTCTCAATTTCTGAAGTCCTAGGACAAAATGTCACAAGAAATAAAGTCCTGAATTTTAGATTCCTGTGACTTTTTTCCGATTGGGACCAGAGATTGAATTAAATGGAAACCCTGCCTGGGCATGATTAATAATATTCATTTCTCCGTGGTTCTCTATCCAAAGTTTGCCGAACAGAACGTTGTGGATCACCGTGTGGAGTCTCTCCCAGGTGTAGTGATGGTTCGATCCTTTAAAGGGACTGTAAACTTAATTTCAACTGAGCCTCCATTTGACGAGAGGCATGTCCGATTAGCAAAGATACCCTTTAACCCTAGCTTTCCTATGAAAAAAATGACATCCGGATTTATGCTGTAGCGACATTAAATCTCTATCTACTCATGTAGAGGTTTAAAGGGTATCGTTCTGAATCGGACATGCCAATCTATAAATGGAGGGTCGTCTAAAATAGTGTTGACAGTCCCTTTAAAGACGAGATGGATTGATCCTTTAGGTTCTACAGATATGGTTCTCCCGGTGAATTTAACATCAGAGGACACCTGTAACCAAAGAGAATAGAATATATATTAGAGCGGAATTTAGAGAATCTCTCGGTATGAATTTTTTCAGTCCCTTTCAGGCTGAAAGGGAGTTCAAAGTGTACAAATCATGTAAATGTTTCACAAATTATATGCAGTAGAGTACATTAATACAGTATGTTCCCTAGACTATCCATTTCAATTTCGAATTTTTTAAAGCTGTTAAATAAACTTTATAATGAATTAGGTGAATAAAAAACATCATTTGATTTATAGTTATAACGGAAAATCATCGTTTGTAAAGTGGAAGGCATAGAGTCTATGTGAAATGATCATTGGTCAATTATGAAACAAGCTTATTTCATAATTTGGTTTTCTTTTAATATTAATTTTAGATTTTCTATAAAATGAAATTCCAGGGCCCTAAAGGTTATATAGCATAAATATGTGAAGTACACCTGCAGTATGGAAACAGTACAACAAAATGGCCGTTTTACACTTTTTTCTAGTAAATTCCCCTCTAATATATATTTTATTCTTTTTGCCTGTAACCATACAGTCCAACCTCGGCCCTCACAGTGTACTGCAGCTATTGGAGGATGGTGGGAAACCTAAACAAACATCTAATTTGTCAACAGGGGTGTATATTTTCTTGAAAAATCATTTACCCCCCCCCTACTTCCCAAAATCATTTCACCAGAATTTAGGTATGTATTTTTAGGTTTTTTTGCCGATACATTTTCTCCCAGATCTTCAAAAATTCAAAAATACTTTAAAAAATACAGTAATACAGTACACCCCTGATAAATATTAGCAAGACAGAGCGTTAGTTGAACGATTATTTAGGATCTCTTTAATGACGACCTTAAACAGTTTAAATACTGAATACTGAATAGTCTTTAAATAATATACAGTGATAACCAGAAAACTCTGGAATAGGAAGTCGACTTTTAAACTCAAGTTAATACCTTGAATAGTCCAATGAGCGTGAGACACAGTCAATGTGCATTGTAAAAAGACCCATTTCACTTTATAATTGATTTAATAACTTACTATTAAAGCAGTTTTCTTTGGAACAACATCAAATGCATTTCAGTATTTTTTTCATGTCGTCTTCCTATTCTACAGTTTTCTAGTATATGCGTTTCTGAAGTCTCATCATTTGAGGGTAACCCTGTATGTAAAGGTATTTATACAACTTTCAGAAAATAATTATTATCTATAAAATAAAACAAGACATTAGTATATATATATATTGCCAATAGCCGGCCAATCGGCTGGACCGATTGGGCTGAAATTTTTTGTGGACACTCATGGGTGGCCGGGGGGTTTTATAGGCTATAAAAACCGAATTTTTTTCTCAAAATATTTTTTTAAAATTAATTTTTTTACGGCCAACGCCGGCCCTTTAGCTAGTTATTATTATTATTTTTATTTCATATTATTTTCTTAATGCACCTTAATATTACATTTGAATGAAAGCCCGTAAACCCCACGGCCCTCCCATCCATATATTCTACGTCTGTTATAATTATACAATATTACCCTAATTCAATATTCGTAAAATAGGGTTATCAAATAATTTGTATACCCTCATACGATTTTAAAAAGAAATGTCGAAGTAATTACCATGGTAAATTTAATATTTTCAGATATTTTTTATTTTTTCAAGGCGTAAATTCATTGACCAACCAATTATTGAGTGGCATGTCCGATTCACAACGATAGTCTTTAAACATTCATCTGAACAACATTGAGGAAGATTTCATCGTTTTTACATCTGGAAAATTGGTAAGTTCTGACAATTTTCTTCATTTTCTCTTGTGCATGAATTTGCAAGCCCATTTTATAAATAAAAATAACAGAAACTAGTCAGTTTTGAGCTAGAAAAATATGGATATCTCATTCATCTTTGAAATGCTGACAACGGTTTAAAGGGCCAGGTTTTGAATCAGAAATGGCGAGTCACTTGAAATTACGTGAACAGTCCCTTTAACCTGCTCCGATATGTATCTCCAGCCTAGATCACTGGTTCGGTCGAACTCGAATGTTTCTCCAAGAAGAGGATTGAAAGGTTTTAAAGTTCTCCCTGTTCTACCATATCCAGCTAAACAAGGAACAATCAACTAGCAGCTAGATGTATGCATGTATGTATATAATGAAGTTATTCGGTCATATATATATATATATATGTTAACTGTAGCTGTCAAAACGGCTGGACCAAATTGACTGACTTTTTCGAGGAAATCTATGAATAACCTGAGGTTAAAGTTAAAAAAATGTTCTATTAAGTTTTTTTTCTTAAATCCACGGGCAACGCTGGGCACTTCAGCTAGTGTATATTAATATATTATTGATAAACAGCGTTTTTTATATTTTTTCTATTGTTTATTGTTGTTTTGACATTTTTTTAAGGCAACTCAATATTATGTACGTACGTTTGATTGTTGTTTATAGCAATCAAAAGTACGTATGATATCCCTCCCCCGGTATCATTGGAACTTGGAAGGGTGTAGTTTATCCCTCAGATTAGATAGAGGTCGTTCTACACCGAGTGAAATAAAGAATTCAAACTGATCTATGGCAGGGAATTTTAACTGGTCTATGGCAGAGGATTTTAACTATAGTCCTTGGCACAGGATTTCAACTCATCTACGGCGGATGATTTCAAATGATTTATATGTCGGAAGATAAAAACTGATCCAAAGGCGGAAGATTTAAACTGATTTACGGCGGATGATTTTAAATGGCAGAGGATTTAACATGGTTTACGGCGGAGAATTGAAACAGTTCTACGGCGGATGATTTAACCTGGTCTATGGCGGATGATTTAAACTGGTCTGCGGTAGATGATTTTAAAAAGTTTTCGGCGGATGATTTAGACTGGTCTACAGCGGATGATTTTAAATGGTCTACGGCGAATGCTGTAAACTGGTCTACAGCGGAGGATTTAGCCTAGCCTTCGGCGGAGGATTCCAACTGATCTAAGGCGGAGGATTCCAACTGATCTAAGGCGGAGGATTAAAAAATGCACTAAGGCAGATGTTTTAAAATGATCTATGGCGGAGGATTTAAATTGATCTACTACGGAGGAGTTAAACTGATCTACTCTAAAATCTAACTGAAAAATAAACTGAACAACTGTAAGATATATAACTGACATAAAAGGGAGTATATTAACTGACCTACGGCAAATGCTGCAACATACATCAGCTGTTTATAAGGATCGGTTTGACCAGCCGTGGTATGGGAGAGATGGCTGAAGATCACATATTCACACTTAGCTTGTATACCTCATTGTCACATGGAGACGTAGTGTACGAGTATTAAAGGCACTGTAAGCGTAATTTCTAATGACCCTCAATGCAAAGAAGACAATGCCCGATTCACAACGGTACCCTTGAAAACTTCTGTAGAGAAACCCCAATTGAAAATGAACAGTTTTCAAAATAATGTTTATTTCTAATTCATACTTGATCAGACAAAACTTTTAAGGGTATCATTGTGAATCGGCCAATGCATAGAGGGTCACTTTAAATTACAGTACCGTCAAGTTCCATAGATAGTAGATACTCCTGTTTTATTAAATCTTATTAACCAACCTTTGCAGCATCGAGATGGGTTCATTGTATATAATCGGCATGGAAACCCTAGCACCAAATTTAGTAAAGATAGAGAAGTATTAGCCCAAGTTGAACCACTTCTAGCCGGTTCAAGTTCAGAAGAAGTGGTTCAACTCAGTTTAAGGAGTTTAACTTCACTTCTTAATTCATTAAATTTGGTTCCTGGTCAAGCTTTGTCCTCCAATAGCTGAGAGTAGCTCCAGCAGGTTCAGTTTCATCTCACTTTTCTTAGGTATCCGGTCCCGTCTCTAAACACAGAAGTATTCTCTTCTCCAGATATACTGCTGTATCAGAGTTGAATCAAGGGGTAATACCAGGGAGTAAGGAATAGTAAAGAGATATAACTGACGCGGTTCGCCCTACCATATGATTGTACATGCTTTGCAGACGGGTACTCTATTTTTATAAGAAATATTCGGAATAGGTTATTGTATACGCGGTAATTGTACATCAGACAAATATTTCTGATAAATAAAGTACCCGTCTGCAAAGCATGTATAATCATATGGTAGCGCGAACCGCGTCAGTTATATCTCCTTACTATTCCTTACTCCTTGGGTAATACACAAGAATATCCCTAGACGGAACTGGTGAATTTGGATGAACTGTCCCGTTCTGCCTACTTTAGTCTGTATTGTACTCTAACAGCTTGCTCGAGCTGTTTAAAAGTGTGCCCGGTACTTGAAATGGACCAGAATTTACAGTTAATAGGTTCATAAGAAAATATGTAGATCCGGGACCAGATTTACTTAATAGAAGTTATTAAAAAAGAAAAAACCTGGGAAAAACCGTCTGGGACCAAATTAGGAGTAAAAGTTGAACTACAAAGACTGATAAACCACTACACTTCGTACACAAGAAATGGTTGAACCGGCAGTGTGCGGTTCAACTATTTCTAACTATTTATTAAAGCAGGTCCCTGGAGAGTGGTGGGTTTCTTCGGGTTTGTTTTTTCCCTTTTATATCACCAACACCAAAAATTGAAATGTTTTCCAATACAACTTTTTTAAAATTCATTTTTTGTAGAGAAGAGAATTTCTTGCCTTCCGAGCTACGGGATGCCGATGAAGAGAAGCAGGGGGAGGAGGAAGAGGAGTTGAAGTAGGAGCAGGAGGAGGCGCAGGTTGAGGCAGGACAGGAGGTTTCTCTTCAACCTCAACCACGCAGGTCTCAGCAATCAACTCATTCTCAACCCTACTTAATTTAAGAGTTATATTTTAACCCAGCTAAAGTGAGATTCATTAAAACTGTAAGATGACGACTCTTCGTTGTCAGGTTATGATTATATCTAGTCCACAGAACATTAAACGAAGCAATTGTGCAGTGCACACGGACCCATCCACTTGATAATTTGTTATTCAAGCTGGTAACATTAATAACATCAAATATATATAATATTATTTAAAAATTAAATGTCGTCATCCTATTTCACAGTTTTAAGGGTCCTAGCAAAGAATTATAATGTAAAGATAGTTATTTCAGAGGTGTACGCATTTTTAGCACCGCAGTGTACTGTCTCTGGGCTTTAAAGTAAACACAAGACGGATGTCACAGCATGACATGGAATCCATCTTTCACATAAACAATCAATTAAATATTCTGGTCATAGGAAACTATTATGTGAAATATCAAAATTTTCTAAATTTAATGCTTTTATCCTCCTCGAAAACTAGAGGAACACTGATGCATCTATTCTTGTTTACAACCACCGCCCAGAAGGAACTGGTTTCAATATGTCCGCAAAGTATACGCAACTGCAATTAACTTTCCTTGCCTTATTACCTTGGGTCCTACTGTATTATATTGGCAGAAAAGTCTGACAAAAACTTTAAAGTTTATTTAAATAAAATATCTGAGCCATGAACTCAAGATATCATTCAACAGTTTCCTTTAAACTTTTGTAAAGAATAGAGTTTAAAAATAGAGATAAAAAATTCGTGGATTTTTAAAATATTATGTAAATCTAATTTAGTTGGAGGCAAATTTTTAAACTATGGGAATTCATAAACCTTCCCTGGGGTTCGACACATAATTTGGACCCGATCGGTTCGGCCGTTTTGACGTTTATTTGATACGATTACAAAGAGACATACAAGCAAAATATATATTTTTGAAAATAATTAGAAAAATTCAAAACGACAAGAACAAAATTATTAAGAAAATAATCAGATATTCCGGCCCCTTGAGAAGAGCAATAATTGTGATCCTTTTCCCGAAAAATCGTCTTCGTCTCTCTAATTCCTCTAATTAGATACCTGAGCTCTATAATCTCGTCTACCTTCAACTCATCTTTCTCTAAAAATAAACAATCACAAATTCCAGTATTTTCAGAAATAAAGGGATCCCCGTCAACTATTTGTTGATATATTGCGAGAGTAAAAAAAATTCACTTGTAATTTTAGTTTTTACCTTTGATCTAAGTTTTTGTAGAAAACTATTTTTACATAAACTTTTACTCTTTTTACGTTGTTTAAACAACAACTAAAACATAATTTAAAATTATATCAGTCAAACTTTTTATAGAACACGTTATCTACAAACCCACTTTCAAGGTTATAATGCAAGGAAAGTTGATTGCAGTTGCGTATACTCTGCGTACATATTGACACCAGTTCTCTCTGGGCGGAATTTGTAAACAAGAGTAGATGCATCAGTGTTTGTTTAGTATTCTAGGAGGATAAGAGCATTTAATTTTTATAATTTTGATAATTCACATAATAGTTTCCTTTGACCAGAATATTTCATTGATTTTTTATGTTAAAGATGGATCCCATGTCAGGCTGTGACATCCGTCTTGTGTTTACATTACCGCCCGGAGACAGTACACTGCAGTACAAAAGATGCGTACACCTCTGAGATAACTGTCCTTGCATTATAAGCTTGCCCACTTCTATTTAATCATTCAAATGCCAACACTAGAGTAGAGATTAAGAAAGACCACATATTTTAACATCCAATGGGACTCATTAGCTTTGGAATAGGAAGACGACAGTCAGGCTTAAGTTACTATTTTAACCAGACCGAGGAACATGAAACACAGAAATTGTGCGATGTAAACAGGCCCATAGTGAGGTCGCTTTCTTTTCAACGTACATGTGAATAAAGTCCGTCCTACCAGAAAGACCCGGAATTAACTATAAATAACAGATATTCCAAAATGTGTTCTGCCTTTAATGTGCGGTTAAAATTAGCAGATATATATGAAAAGTAGTCTATTTAACTGTCAATTAATTCCGGGTCTTTCTGGATAATGACTGTAGATAATTAGGACGCACACAGCCGGACTGGTGGTCGACAATCGTAGTGTTAATGTAGAACCTTTGGTAAACTTTTTGCTTTGTAACAATGCAAATATTACTTACATATCGTCTTCCTATTCCACAGTTTAAGGGGTCTCACTGTATGAAATAAATTCCTTCAGTAAATAGGATCCGGATCCGTCGGATCCGCTACATTTTGGCTTCCTGGGTCAAGATCCCGGGGGATCAAAATAAAACTAAAAACTATTTTGCTCTCAAACCCAAAATCTTAATTATTAAAAAAATTTTTACTCTCAAACCCAAAATCTTAATTATTAAAAAAATATCATTGAAAAAATTCCTTACATCTGAATGGTTATCAAGTTTCAGCATACAAATAGCGAAAAAATTCGAAAATTCTTCTCATGGATCCGGATTAAAAAAATCAGTAAATCTTGAACAAATAATTATGACTTGGACCCGGATCAAATTTTTATAGGACGGATCCAAATTCTGGATCCGCATCAAGATTAAATGGATCCTAAGCAATAGATCAACCTAAAACTTTTAAAAAACTTTTTTGCTCTCAAACCCAAAATCTAATTGAAAAATATATCATTGAAAAATTTCCTTATATCTGAATGGTTAATCAAGTTTCAGCATACAAACAGCGAAAAAAATTTGAAAATTCGAAAATTCTTCTTTTGTAAAAAAAAAGCAGTAACTCTTCAAGAAATCAGTATGACTTGGATCCGGATAAAAAAAAAATCAACAAATCTTTAACAAACAATTAAGACTTGGACCCGAATCAAATTTTTTATGACAGATCCAAGTTCGGGATCCGCATCAAGATGAAATGGATCCTAAGCAATGTTTCTTCTCATGTCTCACCTGTCCTTTGATCCGATCTAATCCAGAAATCCAACCAAATCGAAACCAAAACAATGAATACTGAAGCAAACCCAGCCACAGACAACCAGAAGTTTGCCAGAAAATTCACCGCAGTCCGGTCAACTCCTTCAGCTCGTCCCAGCAGCAGAAATAGTAAACATAATATCTTCATCTTCTTTCAAAATATAAACATTCATACAATAATATAGAATTTAGTAACACAGGTTAAATATTATTGTCACAAAAGAAGAATTAAGCATAGTTTACATGAATAAAATAATTTAATCCAATCCGTATCTTTTAGTGCACTCTGGACAGTACCACTTTCCCTCCGGTGGAACCATTATATTAACACATTCAAAATGGAACCATTCCAGCCGACAGTCCGGTGCATCACAGCCAATCATTTCCGATATATCGTCATGGGGACACTGACAGTAGCAGTAGAGCTTCTCATTCTCCTGGTTAACTCCGGTAGACTGAATTCCGTCATATTCAGCTTCAGAATAACTCTCCTCATAGTTCTCCTCCTCAGATGAAACCGCTCTCCGGTTCAACGCCAAGGATTCACGCATCTTCTTAGATAAGGGTTTGGCGTCTTTTTCATCCTGAGATGCGTCAAAACTTGGTCTTCGTCTCTTCTTAGATTTGGAGGGTTTAGGAATTTTAACAGGTTTTGGGTCTTTTTGTTGCGGCGGTAGTTTGATCTTAAGTTTGAGAGTAGGTTTTGTTACAGGTTTCGCGACAGGTTTAGGCGTCTTAATCTCAGGGGGAGGTTTAGAGCCTTCCTCAGCGGAGAAATCTGTATCAAGATCTGAACTACCAACCTCGTCCTCGGATATATTCTCCAGGTCTTCATTAACCTTGGAGAGATCAATATCGGACTCTCCGTGACTAGAACTGTCCGTGTCGAAAGAAGGACGAGCTGTGCCTGCAGTTACTCCAGCAGTTTTAGCAACATCCGGAGTATGATACTTGGGTTTAGGACCTCGCATTAACAGCGGGGTAATCGGGGCTTGCGGAGCTTTGATCTTCAGAGATTTACGTCCAACAACAGGTAAGGTTGGAGTATTTGGGAACTGCATCCCATGCCGGGCCTGAATACCGAACATGTCTACACGAGCCTCCTCCTCCACGTCTACATCACTGGAGTCAGAGCTCTCTCCTTCCACCTCGTCCTTTTTCTTCTTTCTTTTCCTCTTCTTGTCCTTCTTCTTCTTCTTCCTACGCTTCTTCTCTGGACTAGGAATTGGTAAATAGGTTTGTTCGTATCCGTCTCCGAATCCATCAAATGCAACGTTGCTCAAAATCTTATCCATCTCTGTAGTATCTGCAATAGGTTCCTGGCTCATCATATACGCCGCGTAGCAGTAATCATGATCTAACAGGGGCCGCGGAGCGTTCAGAATTCTTTTCCTGCGCGTCAAAGTTTTCTGTTGAGTTTGACCATCCTCGTTTTCGTCATCACTGGACTCAGATAGATTTAGATCCCATTGAGTTTTAGCATCAGGAGCATTAGAACCATCATTTGTTTTTAAACCTTCAACGTTGATATCAGGTCTATGCTTGCGTGGACCTATACCACGCATTCGTGGTCCGCCAGGTTGTGCGTTTCTATATGAAGGATGCACTCCGCGCACTTTGGCACCGCCACCACGCGCAGGATAGCCATGATGTCTGGGACGTGCTGGAGTTCCTGTTTTTCCTAAAAACATTAGATCCTGATTCCAGAGCCCGCCAAGAACCGGAGCTTTGTCTTCATCATCTGTTTCGGAGGAGTTTATGTCCTCCTGGTCCGCCGGTTCCTTGGTCTGGAGCAGTTCATCCGGAGGATGTTCGGAGGGAGAGGGAACGTTATTAACCTTGACACTAGCTCCCGCAAGCAGTGCATCTATCCCTGCCTGCCAATAGTTATCCTCGGAGTAAGACCGTCCTGCTATTGTGGCCTGGATTGCATCTCGGTCAGGGTTTGGAAGAGCGGTACTGTTACCAGGATCAACAGATTTAGACAATTCATCTTCTGACTCAGGCATTATAGATCTAATTGCGGCATCAAGGACGCTTTCTTTCTTCTCCTCCTTCTTCGGTTCATCCTCTACCACTGGCTCAACTACAGGTTGCCGTTTCTCAATCTCATCCCAAACTAAATCAAGCAGATTGTCGACTATCTTGAAACCTACGTCTACACTTTCAATGCTGTCAGCACCAAACCTTAGCGCCTCTTTCTTCAGCTTTCTCTCGTAGAGAAGTTTCCCAACAGATTCCTTGAGAGCCGGATGTCTGCGGACCTGATGTTTCCAGAGCAAGCTTTTACTGATGAAGGATTTAGAACATTTAGGCTGAAGGCAAGGATGCGGAGTGGATCCAATATGTTTCCTATTATGAACTCTGAAGGCTGCAGCTGTAGGTAGAACAAGATCACAGGTATGACATGTAACGGACATATTTGGTAAACAGAAATGATAAACATGCGGCCAGGTAGGTCCATGACAATTTTTACACTCGCTCTGCTCATTACTGTGCTTCCAGAACATGTGCTTTCGGAAAGAATCTACTTTTTCAAAGGTGACGAAACATTTCATGCACATCAGATCTTGATCATGAGAGGAGCAGTGAGCATGAAGCGAGGTTTGATCCTTCTCCGATTGAAAGCAGATCTCGCACATATTGTGCTCCTTCCTGATATGAGTTTGAAAATCTAGGAAACTGGAGAGATCAATCCTGTGACAGATCTTGCAAGCAAACCTTGCTCTGGCAGCTGATGAGGTCGGGGGTCCGTTACACACGTGACTAATCAGACTCCCGTAGTTTAGGAATATATTGTGACAGATATTACAGGTGAGAACCTTGGTGTTGTGGGCTGTGTCAGTGTGTAGGAACAGGTCGTTGTACTGTTTGCACTCGGTCGTTGGACAATATGAACAGCGGTAGAACTCAAGAACAAACAGTTCCTCCGGTGGGATATAATTAAAGAGAATCTCCTTCCGACGAATATCTCTGAGATACCGTTTAATCCTGGAGATACAATGCTGGGCATTTTCTCCTAGTTTATTGTTAACTCCATCCTCGCTGTGGATTATATGAAAATGAGAGAGCAGGAACTGAGCATCAACACTCACAGTCTTACACTGCTGGCAGAATAAACAGGACGAATAGAAATCAATGATTCGTCGCATCTTTTTACTGCTCTCCTTAATCTCAAACTCCAACCTTATAATTCTCTCCGACCTGGATTCAAACTTGGGTTTCTCCTTCCGGATAGGTTCGGATACATTCTCTGTGACTGTAGGTTTAGGTTTGGGTTTCTCCGGATCTTGAATTTTATCCACGGGTTGTCTTGCAATCCTTCTAGACAACCGTGCGGGAACTAAACTTTGATCCGTCACCTCCTCCTGGTTTACTTGAACCTTCCGCGGAATATCAATGATAAAATTCTTCCCAGCTTTTTGTATAACAAGTTCTCTGATATTATCGTCCAGCTTGACAGCCTGGTTTCCGCTACTGGAGACCTCCTCCGAGATATCAAACCTTCTCCCCTTATCCTTAAACTCCTTCTTGATATTGTTGGAGATCCCCTTGGACTTGGGTCCAGAGAATATGGTTCCAATAACAGGGATGTCTTCCAGGACAACCTTAGGTTTCTCTAATCCTTTGTTTTCCTTCCCTCCCTTGATGGTTGCGAGGATAAGTCGGTCAGAACAGGAGAATCCAGCTTTCTTCGCGGGAACTGGTTCTTTTGCCTAAAATAAAATACAAAATTTAAAAAGAACTTTTACTTTTATCACGGGTATTTACATTAAATAATTGTTTCCATAAATTCGATAAGTGGGAGGAGGGGAGGGGGGTACTTAAACTTTAAGAAGTACCTAACATCCTGCGCTTTATAGAGAATTGTTTTTTAGATTTCATGAAAAAAAGACTATCAACATCGCAAAAACATTTTTGGGTTATAGTTAAACCTACCGATTCTAATAAAGGGTTACCTACAAAGGATGAAACTTAAGAAGAAACGACTACAAGGAATTTATTCAGTCTGTATTCTTACATTCAAGGTTCCCTGATACTCTAAATTTGTTTCTTTCATTTCCAAATCATTTAGTTTAGATTTAAAGAATATAATATCGGAAAATATGCATTCTTTTAATAGTTTCATGTCGTCTTTGAAGTCTCATCCTTTGTGGTCAACCTTTTATATATTCATATTAGCTTGAGAACCCAGATTTCCTCGAGTTCTCTCTATAAAAGTCAATCGATAACACTAAAAATGTTTAAATCAAGCTAAAAATATTCCCGTGGTTCTACCGAGTTCATAAGTCAAAATTTGAGGCAAATCAATTAAGGGGTTCCTGAGCTATGATCGTACAGAAATCGGATAAACAAAAAATCACAGATTACTACTTTATAGAATATATATACAAGATATATTATGATTAAGAAATCTGTAATGTCAAGTTAGAATAAGAAGAAGTTAACAAGAGTTAATTAGAGTAATCTAAATCTAAAACTTGAGAATGCATCTTGCATTTATGTAAACCGCAATGCGGTGGGAGAATATTTTCAGGGGACAGTTAACGAATGAAGAAAGGAGTACACAGGAGCCACAATATTGTGGCTTCTTGGATTCTAGATCCGCCACGAAAAAACCACAGCAAAAAAAATATCAGGTGTTGACTGTCGACTGAAAAGAGTCCCTTTATTATGAAAAAAATAAGAAAAAAATTCTTAAAAATAACTTGTAATTTCAGGATGCATGCAATAATATTTTCGTTGATATTTCATGTTTTTTCTTCAATTATCCAAATTATGAATTCAGTTAGACCAATTAATCTAAGTTTGAAATACCAGGCTGCAAAGATGTGAGGATATTAAAAAAAAATGAGTTTGTAGCAGACTCAATTCCTTAGATAAATTTTGAAATGAGGTCATGTGAGGTCCCAACAAATTTTTGCCACATCCGTTTGACCGTTTTAACGTTTATTGGATACAAACGAACAAGCACAGGTAAGGGGGAGGGGGGGAAGGAGAATTCACTGAAGAATTTAACCATATTTGAACGGTTTCCATTAACAGATATTGTACAAATTGAATTGAACAACATTGATATATTTATTTAATATTTAAGTTTAGAGAAGTTAGAAGAGTTAGGAATAGGATCAACAAATGAAAGTCTAGATATCACAAAATCTAGAAACTTGACAAATCCAAGAGACAGGGTTAGATATTTCTATATTTTGAAAGGGGAGGGAAAGAGGGGGAAGGGTGATTTTTGAAGATTTGATGGTAACAAATTAAAAAATTGGATTTCAACTTTAAAATTTTGCAATTCCTTTCCTAAGGGGAGGGGGGGGGGACAATTTTTGAAAGAGGGGGTATTTATTTACTGAGAAAATATTAATCCGTGGAAAGGAATGTTTTACATACTTTGGGATTAGTAAATTCATTCCTTTTGATAATTTTCATCAAATGAGTCTTTTATTTTACCCGCAACACTCAACAGCACAAATTCAGCTGTTAAATTTAAAAAAACAACACTAAACAGTGAAGGAAGGGGGGGGGTTTGATTTTAGAGAAAAAACGTAAGAATATTTGGTTACCTTGATTACTGGTTGGTTTCCTCCTATATCCACCTCGAGGAGGGAGTTTATCTCGGTATCCATCATCTGGTGGTAGGAGGAGAGGGAGGAGGAGGAGGGGAGAACCTCGTCATCAGGGATTTCCAGAACCTTACCCGTCAAAACCTTGTACACAGCCTAAACAAACAATATTAATTATCAAAAATACTTCTTGGGTCATTCCAAAACAATTTTTTTACTTCTCCGATTTGGCTGAACTTTATTCACAGCTTAATGATTGAAAAAAAAACATATTTTATTTTCTATAAAATATGTTTTTTCGAAATAGATGTCTAGCTCACAAGTAACTTAGGGATTTTTGCAGCAAACCATGAAAGAAATTGTTGCCCAAGGAAGTTACGTGCACTTGCCGCGTTGAATTACAAGATGAGAGATTAGTTTATATTATATTATATTATTATATTATATTAGTTTAGGCCGAGACTCTTTCTTGGTCGAGCACTGCGGCTAGGACAGGATAGGGGGCCGAGCGCCCCGGTTAGGACAGGATAGGGGGCCGAGCTCCGCGGTTAGAACAGGATAGGGGGCCGAGCACCGCGTCTGCCCCTTTTAAGATTGAAAAATGACGATATCTTCCATTTACGGGTAAAATACAACGCTGATATCTAAATTTGTAAATCTTTTCTAGAACCTGATGTTTTTTTTGACTTATGAATAATTCAAAAACTCGTGAAATATACGCATAAAAATTCTCAATTATTAAGGCCTTATTAATTATAAATAAAAATATTAGCTTGAACTAGCGCAGAAATGAAGTGGTTCAACCATGTCTCCGCGGTTTAACCACTATTCATTAAACCTGGTCCCTGGAGAGATAGGATAAGTGTCAATACAATACAATAAGACGTACTAGATACTATAATTAAAGGGCCATCAATTAAAAAAAAAACATTTTTGTATTGATACATGATGGATAAGAAAAAGAATGAGTCAGATATTTATTTTTAAAACAACGAAATCTTAGTAGCGAGTTAATTAGAAATCAAAGAACCAAAAAATTATATTTTAATCTGGGTTAATTCTTAAGCTTACATTTTATCTTTCAATTCAAAATATGCAAAGTTAATTTGATTCGAAGATATATACCTGAATATCTCTCACATCTGGCAGCGCGTCGAATATCTTGAAGTTAGTGCACCAGCCATTGATTAAATGATTCTCTAATTGCTCCTAAACAAGTTTTTAATTTAAAGACATTTTCAGAATATCAGAGGAATATGTTTTATGTACAGAAAAACATTAATTTCACGGATTGATAAAATTTAATATTTACAACCTTTTTTGAGAAACTCATTCTTTGATATACTACTTTGTTATAATCAACGAATTCTGACTCGTTTTAAATTAATATTGAAAAAATTGTGTATTTTTTTTTTTTCGTGGATTTTCCCACTTTTTCCCGTCGATTTCGTGGATTTAATTAAGATGGTTTAGAATCAGAACAAGGCTGATTAAAAGATGTTTCAAAATACAGTTTAAAAACTGAATTATTGCCTCTAAATCGTAATAAAAACGTACGCAAATCGTATCAGACTTTTAGAGAGACGTTCAAATAGTTCAAAATCACATTCTTCAAGCTTTTAAATAATCATAATCTTCATTCTTGAAATCAGTTTAGCTTTAAAATATAAATTAAACCTCTACCATTTTTCCTTCGTAAATTATACTTGCTAAAAATAGTATTTGTAGACCAAAAACTTCCCTATGGTGTTACTTAAAATTTGGGCCCGCTTTGTTCAGCCGTTTTTACGTTTATTGGAAACAAACAAGGAGACAGACAAGCCTAATACATTATGTAGATTACCTGTGTCTCCATATGCTGTTTGCACCAGGGACAATCGAACTGTAACCTGGAGCAAACATGAACCTCCGCCTCTGTTACAGACAGGACGGAGCTGCACTCTCCACACGCCAGGGAGTAGTTGGACCCAGAGAACTCCTTAAACTTCTCCATACTGTGGTAGTAGCGGGGGACACGACGGTGCGCAACTTCAATGTGGCGAGACAAGTCACGGACCTAAACATTTTATTAGATTTAAGCCTGACAGGACTGTGAGCGTAATTTCAAGTTATCCTCCATTTAACAACACTAGAAATGCCCAAGTAGCTTTTGTAGAGAAGTCACGATTGAAACTATTAGTTTTTCACAATTTAAACAATAATATTTAAGTCATGCTTGAAACTACGCATCCAATCCCTTTAAGAATCGAGTTTTTAAGAATTCCAGCAAGATTTGATTTTAAAACAGAGTGGGGGGGGCGGTTACGTGGTTACAAGATGGAAAAACAGAGAAAGGGGAAAGAAAATAAATAAAATTAACAAATACAGTAAATGAAAACGGAAAAATAATAAGAAAATTAGGAAAACCCTAAAACAAAAAGCAAGAAAATAGCAAAATTAAAACTTAAGACTGGGAAATTTCCTCACATAATTTACAGGCGCTCCGAATTAATGGGCAAATTTGTTATTAAAATCAGCGGATTCTTTTAAATTTGAAATCGACAGATACGAGTAGCCTGACCCAAATTATTTCTTTACATTTTTTATCAAAAATTATTTTCACCTTTTTAAATAACTTGAGACAAAACTGACAGAGAAGTCCATGGTGAACCTCCTTCATATGGTTAAATAGTCCTGCCAGATCACAGACGGATTTACACACAGCACAGACATACTTCTTTCTAGGATCCAAAGCTGGGAGCCGGGACAGTGGATAAAGTCGGGATAAAATCCTTCTCCGTTCTCCGGGAGATACATTGAACACCTTCTTCTCAACCCTCCTCACCGGAGCAACATGAACCGTCCGTACATGTTGAAACAATGCTTTGGTGTAGGAGAACTGTTGTGAGCAGAACCTACAAGATAGTCGACTAAAACCTTTATATAACCTTGGTTTTGACTTATGTTTCTGAATTCCTCCAGGTCGTTTTTTCATCAAGGAAATTGTGGAAGACAAACGTTTTCTTTTCAATCTGCTTCTTGTCAACTTCTTCTTCGACAGGGGTGTGAATTTAAAGAATCTAATCCCTTTCAGGGCTGATAACTCTTTCTTTCTTTTCTCTTCTTTTTCTTTAATTCTTACTTGTTCTTCTAGTTTTCTCTGTTCTGAAGTTTCAATATGTTTGTTCACTCGTCGCATTATATTATTATCTATCAAGGACTGGCAGAAGAGAAGGTTTAGCTCAGACACTGAGAGTTCAGGAGGGTTCGACTCCGGGATTTTACCCCTGAAAACCCGACGTTCTTTGGACTCCGTGAGTAGCTCTGTAGGATACGGGTTCTCCGGAGTGGGAAAACCATCTCGGAAATGTAGAGAACAAACAACAACCTTCGCCTACAAATATAAATGATTAAAGAGACCTATTAAGGATCAGTGATTAGAGTCCGGTTCCGGGTTCTTAGAAATAAATTGCTTTTACTTGGGGTTACAAGGGGTTTCTTGCAAGATCTTAGCCTGTAGCATATTTATTCATTAATTAACCCGTTTAATAAGATTAAGCCAGTTAATATGCAATTCTATAACAATTATAAAACAAGACATTCATATATATGTTGCGTAAAGCCGGCCAAACGGCTGGACCGAATGGTCAATCTTGGCATGGGGGGTCACTTAAAAACACGTGTAGAGTCCCTTGAAGGTGGACCCGAGTAACCTAGTTCGTCAACAATTCTCCTATTCTTGTTTTTTAATATTTAGTTTTCAAAAACGTAAAAAAAAGTTTACCCTGTATTCTGGATTAAGATCTATTTCTGCAATCCACTGATCCCTGTCTTCGTCCGGACAGATATGAAGAGAGAGGGGGAGCTGGGATGGAAACTCAAACTCCTCAATAGCAGCAAGCCTCCACTTACTTAAGGTATTCCTGGTTACAGCACAGAAGGGTACACAGCACAGATTGTTGTCGATCTCTTCCGTCTCGAACTTACGCACATTGTGCGTCTTGAGCATGCTCTGCGCGTTGAGTCCGGTTGTGAAGAACTGAGAAACTAGAAAATCGGACCCGGAGTAGAAGGCACAATCTCGCTCAAGGTTCACAACTAGTACAAAGGTTGAACATCCGCAGATACTATCAATTTCTTTCACTTTAGAGAAAATGCCATCTTTGAAGGATTTAAACTTTTTCATCCGTTCAATCGGGTTCTTGATAAACTCCAGGTCACCAACCTTCTTGATCGGTTCGGCTTTAGTTGCTTCCTTCTCCTTCCTGGATTTTACTGAGTCAAAGAACTCTTCATCCTCATCGTCTGAACCTGGAGCAGGATTATAATCATGTTCCCAGTTCTGTGCTCCGCGGGGCCGAGCCTGATATTTTCCAGCCACGAGCACATTGTTCACGTCGGATATCTTCAACCCGACAGGACTCAAGAAACATTTTAACAGCTCCTGGTTCCCGCAGTACACTACCTCTTCTAGATCGTTGTTAACCTGGAGAATAAAGGATTTTGAACCGCATTGAATATCAATCTCATGAATCCGTTTCAATGGTATTGGTCTGCGACGAACGTAGGAACGCGTACGTAGCGACTTCTCCGCAATGTAGGTTGGAATCTTCTTTTTCTTGTGACTTTCTTTAGGCTGTTTTGCCGATTCGTCGATTTTTAGCTCCGTATCACTGTCAGGTCCGGGTTCCTGGCCGGTGTTCTGGTTTTCTTTATCGTGTTCCGATTCAAGAACCTTGATTTCATCAACATGTTCATCCTCCGTTTCTAGTTTGTCGGATTTTTCGGCCATTACGTCGGATTTGTCGGCCATGGCGTCTGTTGGCTCCGGTGGCTTACTCTCACTGTTTGTATCTTTCATTTTCAAAGCTGAGATAGAAACCATATTCTGGATTTCCGGAGAATAATCATCTAAAAAGAGGACTGATTATTTTTACAGATATTTAACATGATTTACGAGTTCCGTAAAAAAAAATTAGGAAAAAGCACAATAATCAAGTGGTTACCGAGTGAACAGGATTATATGGGTCTTGCCGCAGCGCTCGGCCCAGAAAGTGTCTTAACCTAACCTAACCCTAAATAATGCTAAATAAATACTAATTTGATCATGTACAAAATTGATAGGAGGGGGGGAGAGGGGGGCTGGGTCCAAAAATCGTTCACTAGGACAGACCCGAGATATACATTATTGTTTTTATTTCAAAAGTTCTTTTAAATAAGAATTAATCATACAATTGTTATTATCAACTATGTGTATCTATTTTTCAATTTTAATCTACGTAATGATTTCATGGATTAATATGATAAATAATTGCTAAATAGATTAGATTAGATTCGTTTGAAATATTATAAAAGTTATTAAGGAATAAATTTTTCGTATGTTATCAGAAACGTCAGTTAAATTAATAAATTATTGTATTTCATTTAATATTTTACTTCAAGATTCATTCAAACCCCTAATATTTTAAAGATTATTATTCTTAAAAAATTGCAATATTTCATGGAACTGTTTGTTATTATTACGCAATTTAAACTATATTCCAAGGCATTAAATAAAAAGTAAATCTTAAAATAATCTGCTTGGCAATCTTAAAAACCAAAATATCGGCTCACTACAGTTCACTTTCTTAAACAAATCACGTAAAAAGCTTGCAAAGAATTCAAGGATTGGATACCTGTATCGATGGTTAGCTAAACATGGCGACTAGTGCTCGTGTGTGTGTACTGCTAGCTCCTCCTAGCGGACTCAAATATCATTACCCAACACACCAGCCCTCCCGAATTTAAGCAGTTTCAAACTCAGCAAATAAATCCGTTTTCTAAAAAGTTTAAAGTCCCTGGGTTTTGACACATGGTTTCTCACACTGTCCGACATTATAATGTCGAAATTTACTTTGAATTCTTTCGAAAATGTAAAATAATTGTTTTGAAATATTTTTGTGTCGGCCATGTTGGATAAACTGCCGGGGTAGAGAAGGTTTGGTTTGGTTACAATATACATTTAATCAAATAAGGAAACAAAGAGAAGGGTTAAAAATAAATTCTATCTTATTTAACAGACTTTAAAAAACAAAAACGGGCGCGCACAAAGGCGAAAAAAGGGGGGATACGGGGGCTGATTCCCCCCTAGTAAAAATAAAACCTATGGTTCCCAGGATGGGTATTTAGTCCAAAGGACTCGTTGACTGTCAAGAATGGAGCAACTCACCCCCCCCCCCCATCTATTCTGGAGAACCTTGGAGGATCCCCCCGTCCTAAGAAAACTCCTTTATACGCCCCTATTAGGTCCGTAGCTAGGGGTGCACAAGGGCACATGCTCCCCTCCCCCTTTCATCCCCGAAGGGGGAGCATAGGGGGAGCAAACTATCAGAGAAAAAAAAGAAGAAAATGAAGAAGAAAAAAAGAAGGAAACGAAAAATGAAAGAAATTGCAGGAAAATATAGGGAGACATTTGGCAAATAATCTTAGTTTTTTACCAGTATTGTTAAAGATTACATTTTCTTCAAATTAAAGAAAAATTTAGTGCAATTTCTGCAATAAATTATCTGTGAAATTTTATTTTTATCCTGTCTTGTGGAACAATAGGGTTTTAATTGTTTTATTTTTATTTTGAGAAGCTTATCAATCCCTGCTTTTATTGATTAATGATTATAATGAACCATCGTACAGCAAAAACTAACATGAAGACCAATTTAATTTATATAAATTATAAAATATGGCCAGGTTTATGAGAAGCTGTTTGTACCTATCCTCAAACTCGCAGGGGAGTTGTTCGTATTTCAGTCTTGGGAGAACTAAACATTTTCATGCTCGAGCTTTTCTTGGTCTTTACAGGCATATTTACATCATTTACTTTCCCTGTATTAAACATAACTATTGGCTATTCGTGATTCAAAAATTTTCAGTAAAATATTTATTTGTAGTTTAATTCAAATCGCTACATCTTATACCTTGCAGTTTTTTGTTGTTGTTTAAGTTTTAATGCAAGTATAAGCTTCTCAATATCACTTAAGGGAAAAAATAACATAAATTAAGCAAAACAAGCAAAATTTCTATCTTATAAAACTAAATGTGCGAAAAGTTAAAAATCTAGTTTTTTAAGTTTTTCAGGTCAAACCATTTTCCTCTACGGCGCGCCCCTTATAATTGCATGTATCTGGAATTTCTAACATTTGTGCGTCGACCTGCCTTTACAAATTCCTAGCTACGGGTCTGGCCCCTGGGTGCGTGCATAGAAATTTAGCTTAAAATATCCCCCACCCCCCTTTGGCTGATCTTGTTCCCTATCTTCCTCTTTAGTTGCACTGGTTGCAGTCCTCTGTGTAGCCCACTGTGGCTCCAATTTGTACAACATTGTACAAAGCCCTCTGTATAGTCCTGAATTACTTTTTAAAGTCCTGAGTAGTGAGTAGTCCCATCTCATTATAGACTGTTTAGTCCTATTCCAGATGTCCATTCACATAGACTCCTGCTCAGTGCTCAGTGAAGGGCTTTGTTATAAAGATTGAAGGTGCAAACTTGAGAACTTTTAGAAATAATTACTAAATCCCTCAGGACCCTGGCAACTTCACCACTATAGCATTTTTATATACAGGGAGTCCCAATACACATGGGAATTCACTGACGAATTCAAAAACGTATTTTTAGAAAATTATTTGACATAGTAAAGTGTAATACCTACTGAGAAAGCTCTAATCCGTCAGATTTTAGTAAACTTGTCCGTCAATTCACTGTTCATCTTGCGGAGACATTAGATCCATTAGACACATCTTTACAGCCATTTAACGTTTTCATTAAATAAACTCAAGCAGACATAATAATATTAGGGTTTTAGAACGTAGACTACCAAATTACACTCTAAAATCCACTTTCTCTCTTAACAATTGTAATTCGATTACGAAAAATTACATGAAATAAAATGTTAAATCCCAAAATTATTCTTGCATAAAGAAGAAAAGTGTCTAAATACATAAATTGGAAGCGCTTTTTTTATTTGCTCATCTTTTTTAACCCCAAACTGTTCTTATATATACCGATCTTTAGGATTTTAAAGTACGGGGTGTCCCAATAAACATGAGACTTCAGCGGCAAATTCTAAAACCCTAATATTATTATGTTTGCTAGAGTTTATTTAACTAGAAATTCAAGGCGCTTCGCACCCTTCTTTCTAGGCTTTTAGGGCGCTTCGCCCCCATCTTCTATTTAAATTGTGAACATGTTCTTTTTGTTTACATTTCAAAACAAAGATGAGAAAGGTTTTGCGGATTTTTAAAAAAAAAATTGCGGATTTTCAAAAATTTAAATTTTTTTTACAAAATCAAAAACCTCTAAAACACAAATTTTTTAAATTTCAATCATTCATAAACCTTTCCTGGGGTCCCTAGATGTCCCAAAAAAAATTTGGGCCCGATCGGTTCAGCCGTTTTGACGTTTATTGGATACAAACAGACAGACAAACAAACAGACAAACAGACAAGCCAAATTTATATATAGATGAAAACGTTAAATGGCTGTAAAGATGTGTCGATGGGGAAAAAATTAAATCAATTCCTAAAATTACTGTTTTGATATTAAGTTTATCTCTAAAAATATTATCAAATAAAAAATTTCATTTAATATAACCATAAGATGTATACATGTAGTTTAAGCTAAACTGACCAGTTTCAAAAACAAATTATCAATTATGAAAAAGCTTTGAATTAAAACTAGCTGCAGTTTAGCTCCGCACGCAAGTTTAAACTTTCGTAAATATGTACAGTGAATCCCATGGATATATGAATACATAGAACGTCATAAGTTTTTGATAATTCTAAAGAAACTTGTTTTTATTTTTAGTTCAAGGTAAATCAATAGCCCTGAAATATGAATGCAATTAATATATTAATATTAAACTTATTTTTCCGCGGCATTTGATCTTAAATATGTAATACGACATTATAAAAACTCTTGCTATGATTCATATATCTGGGATTCACTGTATTAACCACAGAACAGTTTTTGTTCAAAATCAGCAAGATCAACCTGAAATGGCTAGTTTTCATGATAAAAATAGGAACATTTTAGATTTATAAGAGAAATAGTGAGGTAAATTATTTAAAGGCCAGGTGTTACGACACTTTAAAGTCTATCCAGTCTTAGAAATTTTATGGATTGTTTTAGGGATCCTCGCAATTAAACAACATCTGCTTGGTAACGGTCTGTTATAGGTTCTGGTCCTGTTTAATATTTACAAATACGTGCTTTAGGGACTCTAGCAGATCACTGTTATTTAAAGGTTGCAAGCTTTTCAGGAAAAATTGATGCCAATTACTTATTGTAAACCAAATTCTTTAAATTCGGCCTCTGATCCCGTTAAATAATTACAAAAACGTGCTTTTAGGAACTGTAACTAGCAGATACATATATTTAGGGCTGGGTACGTTCGGACTTTTTTAAACTCGTTTCTCAACGGTTTGTTAAATTATATTTATACAAATTGAAGGGCCCGGCGTTGCCCGTGGAAAAAAGTTTTGAAAAAATATATTTTGAAAAAAATCTAATTTTTTAGTTTATAAGACCCCCGGCCACCCATGAGTGTCCACAAAAAATTTCAGCCCAATCGGTTCAGCCGTTTGGCCTGCTATACGCGACATATGTATATACTAATGTCTCCATTTATTATAGAGATGTTTTGTCGGAATGGTGTTGTTTTTTCGGAAACAATGTATAAGGAAAACACCTCGAAAAATGCTTTGATTCATAATTTCTTCCGCAAATTTTGACAACTTAAGGCTTCCTCTTCTCGTTTAACATTGTTGAAATCATCTCTGGATTGTTCACCAGATTGTCCCATCCGACAACTCAGAACAAAACCCTTCAGCTTCTAATCTAAAATTCACTGTCTTATTTGACATTTAAATTCGACTTTCAAGGATCTTATATTTTAATTTTGATTTCAACTGCAACTCCGATATTAACACCTAGAATTGTCATTCTTTAGATTTCTCGAGAGAATATTAAACGACAAAACAATTCACAATTTAAATTTTAAACCTGTTTAACATTATTATCCTTGAGTATGTTGTTTATTTCCAAAAAATAATGAAACAGAACTGCAGCCTCATAAAATAGCCGTTCGTTTGGAACTAATAACGAATTTTTCTCATCGTTAACAATTTCGATTTTTAACAGCATTAACGGTAAATATTTCTAAAGTGTATTGTTTATTTCCAATCCTTTGAAAGGTTTAAATACCCCTTCTTAGACAAGCCGGCCCCCTGATTTTACGTAAAAGTTCGTTTATTAGATCGGTCCCCAACACCACTTTATACACTTATACATATAAACTAAACAGTTTGTTTTTAATCTTCATGACAGAAACAATCTCAAGGAATAATAATTTTCTTAAAACATTCTTTAAAAAGTGAATATTTGCATAATAAAATGTGGAGCTAACATCTACTTTTTTATCTACAGAGGTTTGGTCCAATGTACCATCACCGAATTTTAAATATTTCTAAAATTAGGTTGTTTCTGCCTTCTCCATTAACGATTGTCTTCGTTCGTTAACGAACTATAAATTAACGATTTTTTCCCGTTCGTTTGAAAAGCTTCCGTTCGTTGACGGAACGATGCCTAGCCCGTGCATGGTATAGGCCGGAACTAGCGGAAGCGTAATTATTATTTATCCAGTAGTAGGAGCAGTAGCAGTAGTAAACTAGGATACACAGGTAGAGAAAGGATTCATCCTCCATTCCATTCTCCTATTCTCTAGTATACGCTTATACCAGAACAGGTGTGCTTTACACTAGTTACGTTCAATATTCTACATAAAATGCTTGGATGATCAGTGCTTTATAGTGTTCCGGGTGGAATACAGTCATATCAGAATCATTAAGTTTTGTTAAAAGGAGAAGTAGTTTTTTATCTTATGTCAGATTTGCGAGCACAATTGTAATGTCTTTGATCG